ATAATGGACAATCAGACTGGAAGGGTAGGGTGGGATGGCGACCAAGATGAATTTGAACACACTGAGCTGCAAAGAGTTTGGTGTGGCTTGAGCAAATCCTTTGCAAGAGTTAGAATTTTTTTTTTCAGTATACTGCTTCTCAAAACAAAACAACGAATGTTTCCCATTAATAGAGACTCTGAGAAAGCTGTACTATGAACCCTTGTAAGGAGATGTGGGTTTAAGGTCCTGCCTCACCTTCAAGGGTACCATCTAATAATCATCAAGACTGAAGGTCCACCAACTGTATATGGTGGAAAGGCTAGAGAGAGGCCAGTGACTGACTGAATCATTCATTCATTCATTCATTCATTCATTCAAGAAGCTCACAGTGAATGCCTTTAGATTTGAGAGACAAGTAGGATTAAACATATTGTTCATGGAACTGGGACAAGATAGCAGGCAAGTCTCCATTTATTTAGCATAAGTTTCATTTCTCTCTCCCTCTCTCTCTCTCTCTCTCTCTCTGTTTTGTGTAGAAGTTATTGGAAGATTTTCAATGAACACTTATTGTGATCCTGCTATGTATGTGTCAGGCACTATGCTAGGGGCTGGGGATAGTGAAATGATGGAAACCTCCAATCGACAATGTGGTAACAAACTTAAATATTTAACTTAAATGTTTCCTTTTATGCTTCTGGCTTTTGCTTCACCCAAAGGGGAGCTACTTCTCCTGGAACAAAGTGGACAAATGTGCAGCAGGTGAACAGAATCATGTTTGCTTTCCAGCTGTTGTACCATCTGTGTCACACTGACAGTAGCCTCCACCTGTCTAAGTCCTGCTGCCACCAATTCAGAGCCGAGTTATTTTTATACTGATATCATAGTATAACCCAAGTGGTGATGGAAGTTCTTTAGCACTGAATTTGGAACCAAATATAGTCTAGTTTCTGGAAGCCCATGTGACTTCCATGTAACTAGTTCAACAGCTACAGACACCAACATGAAAAATGCAGCAGTAATTAAGGGACTTCTCAGGTGCTGATGGTGGAGGAATCGATCCCCTCGTTTCAGATGGGATGAGGAACCTTGGACACAGGGAGGGACTGACCCAAAGTCACTGACAACATAGAGGACAAGCTAGAGCTACTCACATCTCTTGCTTCTGAATCCATGCTCTTTTTATTAAGCCAGTCATGACATAACCCACCAAATGAGCATAGATTTTAATCTCCCTCCGCAAGAAGCCTGCTGGCTGTACAGCTCAGACACATACATTCTGATGGTTCCTGGGTGGTTGACACTCATCACCCTCTGACTTTATTTATTTATTTATTTATTTTTTCTTTTGTAAAATGGCTGCTGCCCAGAGCCAGCATCTCTTTTCCAAAAAGTTAATGTGCCAGATGGGATTTTGGAAACTGCCTTGATATCTGTCAGGAGCCAGATGATTCACGGCAATGAACCAACACACATAACAAGGATACCTGATTGGATTACCAATTAGCCACCTCCACCTCTGGAGACTGCTTGGAAAGAAGAGAAAGGGCGGTATTTAGTTTGGGCAAATACCAAAAGGGCTTTATCATTCTCATCGAGGCATCAGCACAGCACATTAGACCTCCTCCAAGCCATTCCACGGGAACTTCTCTCTCCAGATGCTCCAGCAAGAGTAAACTTGTTATGCAAACATTGGGTTATTATGTCTGAGCTACAGAAGCACCTCTGTGTCAGCGGGAAGGGAGGAACTGGCTGAGTTGCATGTGTTTTTAATGATGCCTCTGCTGCTGGGAAGTTTTGGAAGCTACAGGTAAAATCCTCCCCTATGAAAACGAGGCCGATCTGGGATATATCATCTTACCTTTATCCGACAGAAGCTTCTCGGTTTGGGTAGGTCCTGGGAGGTACAGGCAGATGTTTTCTCCATCTGGACCCAGCAAGAAGTGTCCCAGTGTGGGGTCTCTGGACTCTTCTTGAAAATAAGCACAAGCATGGGCAGTGTTAGCACCAGTGTGGGGAGGGAGGCTGAACCGGGGCTGTGCTCCCCGGATCCCGGGTGGGGAATTGCTGGTGTGCTCAGGGGCTTGCCGGAGTACAGGGTCAGCCCTACCCCTGGGATTTGGCAGAGCAGAGCCATTGTTTAGGCCCTGCCTTCTGGAGGTTAAGGTGGGACGATCAGAGTGGGGCTGCCATGACTTTGTGAGAGTCTGGAAGAGGTGACCCCTCTGGGCTTAAGCAGCCCCACAGGGGCCAGGCTAGGCTAGAGAGGGGCACCTTGTATGAAGAAAAGGGAGCACCTTCCTCTAGGTGTGTGTAGCCCAGCCCTTGGGCACAGGGTTTGCTGATTCTAGCCTCTGCTTTCCTTCTCTTTGTGCAGTGCTCAGCCATGCCCTCTGGACCAAATCCTGGGACTGCTCAGTGACTCTGGGGGGCTCAGGCCAAGAATGAAAAGGAAGCCGTATCTCCCTCAGCTGCTCAGAACAATTGAAGGTGTTTAACTTTACCTTCCCCATGTCCAAGGCTAAGGGATCAGGAGTAGAGTTGGCCACCAGGGAGTAGATATTTACAAGTACACAAACACACACACATACACAGAGGCATGACATACACACATGGACACACAAACTCACATATTTACACAGAGATGTGCACACACACACACAGGTACATATGCACACCCATAAGGCAAGCATGCACAGACACGCACAACCACACACATGTAGGTGTGCATGCATGTACACACATGTACCAGACATGAACAAGGACACACACATCAATAAATGCACCTTGTTTCCAGATAAGCATGCATAGCTGCATAATCACACACATGCACACAGTGTGCATGCATGCACACAAGCACAGACATATATTCACGCAGACATATAAGCACACACATACCCTCACACACACATATGCCCTCATACACACCTTCACTTACACACTCCCAGCCTACACACTTGAGGTGTCAAGCTGCACTCTTATAGTCATGGCCCTGGCGTTCATTCTAATCAGATTCTCCCTTTATAAGGATGGTTGAATAAGAATGTGTGTGTGTGTGTGTGTGTGTGTGTGTGTGTGTGTGTGGTGTGATTTGTCCTGGACTATACAACCTGCTAGGAATGCCCTTGGTGCTGACGTGGTAGCTAAAATTTGGTTCATTTGCATCAAAATTAAGAGAACATCACTACCATGCAAGTATAAAAGGGAGGGGTTTGTAGAAGAAAGGTTCTGTCTCTGAAGTGGTTCATAAGTGACAACAATGTCTCTGGAGGAAGAGAGAGAGAGGGAGAGAATTAGTTGGAAGGAGGGAGGAGATTTAATTTTGACTATTTCAGCCTTAAACAGAAAAGCTGCCAACACAATGGAGTTATGTGCTTAATTGTGAATCTATGTATTTAACCTATGCTTAGAGACTTCAAGTATACATGTTTGGAGGGAATATGGATGGAGAGAGAGAGAGAGAGAGAGAGAGAGAGAGAGAGAGAGAGGCTGATTTAAATAGTGAGGCATCTGTCTCGGAGTGAGCCTGAGATGAAAATGAAAGATGTAATACCTGTTGTCTCCTTGGTGGCTCTCAGTTGCCACGTGCTTCTCAGAGTGTTTCTCGTAGCCCTGAGTGTGATTCTGCTGTTAACAGATACTTTTTTCACATTTCCTGGCTCCCAAACACACACCATCTCCTTCATCTGGTGCTCAACTGGAGAAAGCAGCCCAAGGCTACAAAGAAGGAGGAATAGCTAGCTGGGCTGCAGTTTCTAGAAAATAGTTTGTCTGTCTCCAGCATGGCACCTCCGGATTTTCAGGGGCAATTTAGACTTTAAGCAATTTTCACTTTATGAGCTGCTTTTAGATCAAAGTCCCCGTGGAAGCTGTTACTATATTGTCTTTGCATTATTGCTCTTGTATGAGCATCTTAGTCTCCTCCTAGACTGTCAGCTTTTAAGGATAAGAACTCTAAGTGGGGCTAAGTCATAGAGGGTGTGACCTGGCCCTACCTCACCCTTCAGTAGAAACCTGGAGTCCTTCTCTCTCTGTGAACAGGCCTCAGGCTCTACCCTGGGCTGGAGGGTAACTTCTCTCCTGGGTTCTTCCTACTGGTAGTGTCACCAGGCTCCCTTGCCCCAGGCAGGGTTATGGCTTGGTGTTGAGTCTGCCTGGTAAATCCATTAGCATGTCTCCCTGATGAGTGCAGGGAGCTGTGTCATCACATGTTGCATGCAGGCATGAGGAAACAGCTTGGCAGTGCGTGTTGGTGCAGCAAACCCTTAAAACATGTACTGACTCTTAAGGAATAAGCATGGTGAACAGTAATCCCACTGACATCATTGGAGGCACTGCCGATTTCTCCTTGTCAATGGGGTGGCTTTCAGACAGCTTATACGACGGTTGCCTCTTGGCTCTAGAAGATGATTAAAAGGAGCCCAAAGCCACAGACAAGCCAAGGGGAGTGTACCCCAGGAGTGATTACCTTGTCCTTCTGCTGGGAGTGCCCCCCTGGACCGTCTCACATTCAGGGTCTCACATGTAGGGCTGCTGCGGCCTGACTTCCTGGGGCTGTCTAGGCCCCTTTGGCCCTCTGGAGTTTTTCTTTCTTTGATCAGTGGCAGTGGTGGAGTCGCACTGTGGGGTGCGACATCATTGTCTTTAAAAGCAAAAGGAGAAAAAGCATGAGTGAGACAACTGTATCAGCAAGAAGGAGAATGGACCTCTTTTCTAACTTGGTTTATAGTTCCTAATGTGTAGGATGACTTATTCCACTCATTCTCAAATTTGTCCCTCTTTTCCAGCCCTGCTAAGAGGCAGAGGCTAGGTATCTCCCATGGCCAAGGTGAAATTCTTTTTGGCTAGAACAGTGACACTTTAGTTGGTGAACCTCCAAAAACTGGGAGGAACTGAGCTGTGATGGTCGTTATTCTCATTTTATTGATGGACTCCTGAGATAGAAGAAAGGCTAGAGAGGCTGCAGAGCCCTTCTAGCCCCCAATCCAAGGGCTCTGACTAGGGGGACCTAAGCTTTAGAACTCATGGGATTATTGGCTACAGAGTTCCAACCACAAAGCGATATCTCTAAGCAAAATCGATGATTACCTGGCTCCTCAAGGTCACATGACCTCTTCCTCAAGGTCATAAAATACAAAGTAGCACTCTCCAGATAGTAGTCACAGGGTAATGGCATTGATGATAATGCTCCACAAAGCAGATCCTTCTCTCCACATCTGTTCTCTCTTTTTCTAACTCTTCCTCAAAACCAGCAGGGATTGCTCTAGGGAGGGTGAAATCCAGTAATCCAAGTGATTGAGACCTTGTCCTAATCTTATTCAGAGAGAGTGGTCTTTATTTCATGTTCAATACACTGTTGCTGTTTGTGTTTAAAAGCTGTCTGCCCACACAGTCTCAAAATATCACAAACTACTTATTTATTACAAAGGGAAAAAGTAGTATCTTTATAATGGAGATAGATCTAACAGATACCACCTTTAGCCAAATAATGAAATTTAACAACACCTGTAATGGAACAAGTTATAACAGATGAAATAAATATAAAGGGATATTTTGTGTCCCTTGATGTGATGTGCTGAGAAAGACACAACATCACCTATCTGCTATTCTTTTTTTTTTTTTAAGATTTTATTGGGGAATTGGGGGTGGGGAACAACGTTGTGAAATCGGGGAAAGAGAACAGATAAGTTACTATCTTTTTGTTCTTCAGTCTAGTTGTGGAGGATGTTGCTTCACTGTCCCACTGGTTGGTATTATCATTGCGCTCTTCCTGGGTGAGGCAGTCGCCGGCCATTGGATGGCCACTCACGGCGGCTCATGGTAGCTCACGAAAGCTCACACCCGCTGCCAGCCAGCTCCCCTGCAGCCTACGCTGTCATCGGCGACTTACTGCAGCCCAGCTCCAGGTCGAGCTGTTGTTCACCAATTTAGCTGTAGAAGGCGCAGCGTCACTGGCCTTCATATGTGGGATCCGAACTGTGGCCCTGCTACTCAGAGCTGGTGTCCCAAGCCAACTGTTAACCAACGCGCCACTTGGCCGACCCACCTATCTGCTATTCTTGCCAAAAATATTTGATCAGAATCTAATCATGAGGAAACAAACACATCTAAATTGAAGGTAATTCTGTAAAACAGCTAGCCTATCCTCTTAAAAAATGTCAACGCCATGAAAAATGAGACTGGGGCAGTGTTCTAGATTAAAAGATTCTAAAGAGAAATGACAAGTAAATACAATGCCCGATCCTGAGTTGAATCTTGGATTGATTGGGAAGAAAAACCTATAAGGAACATTATTGGTATAATTACAGAAATTTGAATATGGACTATGTATTAGAAAACAGCATTACGTGTTAATTTTCTTGATGAGGATCATTGCATTGTGGTTATGAGGGAGAGTATCATTGCTCTTAGGAGATATGTGCCAATAGAGGATAAAATGTACATAGTCCACAACTTACTCTCAAATGGTTCAGCAATAAACTAAAATGTGTATGTGCATAAGTAAAAACCAGCTTCATTTTTATGATGTTAGAGGTGAAATAATCCAGAGCTAAGCAAGTAAATGGGTATGTGCAACCTCTGAGGCAACAGGGCAGTCCTGCCTACTAGCTCTAAGCACCCTTGCCCCAGGGCCTGTGTGTGAGAGCTTGCCATGGAAATCTCACCTCTTTGGACTCCTTTCTTTATGCATCTACTACTAGGTGGGTCACATACTGACCTAACTCACACCAAGGTATTAGAGTCTCCATAGACCAGCTTCCCCCAGGCAGGTGGCAGAGAATGGACAAGCTCAAGATACTTTGTCCCTGGGGACACAGCAGCTCAAAACAAGTGGAGGGCAGTGTGAGCAGAGCAACACCCAAGATGAAATTCACCAGTGTTGCCCTAGATCTCAGTAGCTCAGGCTGTGCACTTGATGTCGTGACCCACAGGTAGAAAGCTGATTTCTTACCTGTTTGCAGACAGAGCACCCTTGCCCATGTTTGATTTTTCTTTTGTAAAAAGGAATCTTCAAAGTCTTTAGGAGATTAACTCTCACTTAAGAGATGGAGTAAACAAGACCATGACTTAATAATCAAAGGAAGTTCTCAAAACCAAAATGTCTTCAGAGGTTCTGACCTCGGTTCATTGTGGTGTTTATTCTAAAAGGCAGTGCCCTACGATGAGTAAGAAGAGCCTAGATTCTGGCACCAGAGGGCCTGGGCTCCAGTGCCACCTGGGCCACTTAGAGTTGTGTAACCTCAAACAAATTACTTATCTCTCAGGGCTTCAGTTTTCTGATCTGTGAAATCAGGGTTGGATTGTTGTAAGGAGGATATGAGATACTATGTGTTAAAAATTAAGGACAGTGCCTGGCACAGAGAGGAAATCCTTCAATACGAATGCTTATCCTTCTACTTCTTCTGATTACCACTGGTCAGAGATCACCTAAGATTTGTGCTTCCAGGTGTGAGGAAAGCACAGAACAGCTTGGCAGTGTGTGTTGGTGCAGCAAACCCTTAAAACATGTACTGACTCTTAAGGAATAAGCATGGTGAACAGTAATCCCACTGACATTGTTGGAGGCACTGCCGATTTCTCCTTGTCAATGGGATGGCTTTCAGACAGCTTATACGACGGTTGCCTCTTGGCTCTAGAAGATGATTAAAAGGAGCCCAAAGCCACAGACAAGCCAAGGGGGGTGCACCCCAGGAGTGATTACTGTCATTTTGCACTTCTCCTTTGGAAAAGAGGAGCTTTCTAAATATGGCCCATTATTTTTAACCTATCCAACACATACAAATATTGGAGGTGCCAGAAAAATGTATACAAGTGGACACTTTGGTCAATATTGCTCAAGCAGTAGTGCGCCGTAATCAGAAATATCTGGACACTGATGGTAACCACTTTGAGTACCTCTTATAATTACAGAAGTCAAATGTGACTTGTATTCATCTTTTGTTACTGGTATATATGGAGTATTACAATTTTGATACAGTTTTCCTTTCTTAAAATGTGTATACTTTTTTGGCACCCTTTGTATACACCCACGTGTATGATTTCAAATACACATACGATGTTTTGAAAGATCAGAGTGAGGATTTTTATTGATATTATGGACTTCTTAATGAATAAATACATATTCCTAAACAGATTAGAAATGAAATTTTGTTGGTTAAAAATATAGAATAAACTGTGGGGCATGCAGCACATTTTTAATAAGTTTGGTGCTGTTTTACATCTGCAACCGGAAAATATTAGTAGGGGGATGATAATGAGATCTTACAAGCTAGACACTAAGCTGGTTTTACTGCAGCACTTTGGTACAGGCAGCTGCTGCCTGAACAAAAGCCATCTGCAAGTGGCCAAGGAGGAGCTAACCTCCCTTCCAGCCTCCTTTTCCATGGCTGAGGGCCCTTGTGTGTCTTGTCTTGCTCCCCTTTGGGGTGAGATTGTGGGATGCTGGAGAGTGGGAGTAGCTACCTTGAGGCGAGAGCATGTCCCTGTCCGTGTCTGTTAACTCCCGCAGCTTTTCTAAGGATGCGTGCTTCAGGGAAGGTCTCCATAAAGGACTGGCCTCTTCTCCTGTTTCTGGTCCTGACTCAGGGTGTGGAGCACCTGGGAGATGAGGAGAAAGCAAAGTTGTAGTAAATGCCTGTGGATTTTGCCAGCCGCCTCTTTTTTGGGGGGTGAGGGAGAAGACTCGTCTCTTTCCTGCTTACACCATATGGTTTGGGTGGAGCTGTGTCCATTCCTTGACTCCAGGGATAGGCATGTGGCTGAAGCCTGGCTAATGAGTACCGCACTGCCTTAGCCACAGTGATTGGGTCCGGTGTGGACACATAACCCAGTCAGAAGCTGTTCTAGTACTTTTGCAAGAGCTTTCAGAGGCATAGCATTTCTACTGTAGTTAACAAGTAGGAGGTCAGCATGACATTGCAGGAGACCATCTTTACCACCACATGGGGACAGCCTGCTTGAGAGGAAAGCTAACAGAGCTGAGAGACTTAGACAAATGGTGCCCAGATGACATTTTCTGAGGCCTGGATTCAACTGAGTCTGGAGTTAGTTCATCCTTGCACTACCTAATTACATGAGCTAATGCATTTCTTTTTTACTTGAGACATTTTGAGATAGGCTTCTGACACTTGTTACTGAAAGAGTTCTCACTGACATACAAAAGCAGAAAGAACTCAGTGGATTCACTTTCTCTGCACTTGATTCCTATTTATCACTTGGCAGTGTGTTGGCAAGCTCAGGGTATCTAATAGCTTTAAGAATCTGGTTCATGATGGCCAGGTGGTCTTCCCGACCTTCTTGCCAGGGTTATCATGGTAAATAGTCAGGATTTAACCTAATCCCACTAATAGCCTTCTTTTTGTGTGCATTATGCATATCTTTTTATTCTGATGTTTGGACATCTGGGACCTTACTAGTGAAACTGTCCCTCCCAGAACTAGCCAACTCCTTGAGACAGTAAAGGACCAGCTGTGTGCATGCCTTTCATATGCAAACCACCCAATCCAGAGCCCCTAAACCAAAACTACTTTCTTTATGCAGCTCTTAACACTCCCAGGCCACTATCTACCTGCCCTAACCACCCCAGGGTCAGGTACCAGACCGTGAGGGGTGGCCACTATGCCCAGAACCCACCAAAACTATTCAAAGTAGCCAATCCCAAATCTGCTTAGCCTGATTCCCCTGCCTCACTGCAAAAAAAGAAAGATAAAACTTCCTTCTTGCAAAAACTGCAGTAAAGACTCCTGCCCATTCCCACTCCCCCAGCCTTCTGCCTCCTAACTGATCTGGTGCTTCCCCATGTGGCCCTGAATAGCATGGCATTCACCCTCTCCTTTCAGGAACTGTGAGGAAATTGAAACTATTGTTTCAATGGCAGTTGTCTCCTGATCTGTTGGCCTCATCATGCCTGAATAATAAATAATAAAACCTAAATTTAAAACACTGTGTATTGGGCCGGCTGAGTGGTTCAGTTGGTTAAGAGCATGAGCTCTGAGCAACAGGGTCACTGGTTTGATTCCCACATGGACCAGTGAGCTGCTCCCGAGCTGAGCTGCCACTGAGCTTGTGAGAGTGCGTGCTCTTAGCAGCAAGGTTGCCGGTTTGACACCATATAGGATGGTGGGCTGCGCCTACCCGCAACTAGATTGAAAGTGGTGGCTGGACTTGGAGCTGAGCTTGTGCCCATCACCACATCCCAGATATCTGATAACATCTATTTTTCTACTCCTTTTAACCTGTTTCTTTTCTTTTCTTTTTTTTCTTTCAATTTTAGTTGGTATTGTATTTATTTTTTATAAGCTGCCTGAACATTCTTGTACCTTTATAATACCTGTGGTGCATTGGACTTATTCACGTGTATGCCCATCTTCCTTTCTTTTTCACAGTATAGCAAAGTGCACTGTTTAATGAAGGACTCAATAAATATTTAAAAAATTGAGTTCACTATGACCAGAAGAGACCTACTAGATTTTACCCTTTTTTACTCCTTTTCATAGAAGTTTCTCTGAAGGGGATGACTCTGGGAAGGGTCAACCATGATTTAGAAGAGGGTTGCTTTAGCAGTGCTTCCCCCAGGAGCACCCATCCACAGCTGACCTACCTCTTCTGCTTTCTTTCTTTTTTGGGGGGTGTGGGGTGTGGAAATGAATCTCCACTGGGAAGATGAGAAGCTCTGCTGGGGGCTCATTGGCTTTAAATTGACTCCTCAGGGGGTCCAGGACTCTGGGTTGTTCTTCTGAGATAGGAGGCAATTTCAAAGCCTTTGAAGCCTGGAGAAAATTTAAATACGAAACAAAAACCAACATGGCAGATCTTCAAACCCTGCTGCCTCCAGGGGACAAACGACATTGTATCTTATTGTGTCTCTAACACCAAGAGCAGCTGGGTGTAGTTCCAGTACCACCACAGGGACATAAATCTAACCAGCCCGGGCATCTGACTAGAGTGGTTCTGCTTTGCTTGGGAACTTGGTTGGCTCTGCCCCAGCTAATCCAGCCTCTCGTTCTTCTGAGAAGTATAAACATGATAAATTCAAGAGTCTTTGAGAGGAAATACAGTCTGTCTTTCTTTTGCAGCCAGGGAAACTAAGCTGGATTGAAATGACATAACTAAGGTTTCCATGTGTGAAGAATGAGAAATCTCTGCATTTGTTGTTAAGGGAAAAAAACAAGGTGTGGAACACTGGCTGCAACCTTTTAGATAAGAAAGGGCAGAGAAGAGGAATGAATGCACATTTGTGCTTGCTAACCTATGTAACCTCTCTAAACCTCAATTTCTTCCTCTATGAAATGGGAGTCATACTACCTACCTCAAAAGGTTGCCGTGATGATTGAGCTAATGATATGCAGCTACAATTGTGTTTGAACTGGGTTAATTTCTAGAGAGAGAGAGAGAGAGAGAGAGAGAGAGAGAGAGAGAGAGAGAGATACACTAGGGGTAGTACTTAGAGCCTCCTGTTTCCAATTATTCAGAAGTTGCTGAAAATTTCTTCTTTTAGTTTGCAGCTTTTAACATATGAACTTGGCTCTATGAAATGTATATGCATGCTGGATTTCAGGGAGTTCAATTTCACAGGAGGAAAAATAAAAACCGTTCTCACTTTTTTAGTGCTCAAAAGGAGAAAAATGATCAGAAACACACGTAGGCATCCTACACGTTTAGAGTTGAATGAGGAAAGAAATTCAAATGAATATATGCAGAACAATATTTATAATTTTGAGACAGTAAGAAAACGATTAACCAAATGCATGCACATAGGATCTTTATGTTCCTGGAGACCTTCACTGTCCAGGTGCCAGCTGCCCACCAACTGCCCTTTTCTGAATACTGACCTTGTGCATTTTGTGTGACAAGGTTTGCATTGAGAAATCTGCATGGAAACTCAAATGATTTGTGTGAGGTATAGCTGACAAGCCAAGCCTTAATTTCTTTATTCTAATTAAAAATTTACAGAGTTTTAATATAGTGGAAAATATTGCTTTCCTCTGCTAAGCCATATAATATACACGGGTTGAGGGAAAGGACTCCTGTCCTCTGAGCCTGGCTCAGTTCTGGGCTGACCTGGGGTGTGAGATTGGGAGCTTTCCTTAGGCCTGCAGTGACTCTGTCAGGTCAGGCCTGCTATTTACTTCTGGTCCAGAGGAACCTGGGAAGACAGAGGCCCTTCTGGGGTGGTTGAAAAGGTTCAGATCAGCTTAGACACAGGAAATATGAGAAAATCCTGAACAGACTGAAAACAACCTCCTTCATAGGTACCAGAACCACCGGGAGTGCCCATGGCTCCTTCAGGGACACTTCAGATGACAGGAATTCCCATCATTAACTAACACTGGTACAGTTCCCAGTCAGTCACAAAAGACTTTCACCAAAGCACATCCTCTCCTTTCTTCCTTCCATGAGACCTATGAGGTTGGCATTATTATCTGTGCACACGGATAAGGTGACTGCTGCTCAGAGTGGTGAGTGTCCTGCTTAAGTTGACACAGCTGCTTTGGGGTAGAGCACTCTGGAGCCCCTGCTCATTCCTGCTCAGCACAGGTACCTCCAAACCACCGAAGTCCCAGGTAGAATTGCAAGGCAGGACCAGGCCAGAGACAGCTAAGGATGCCTCTAAGGGAGAAGGTATACTTGACTACTGACGGGGTTGATAAACCTGCAAACTTTATTTACCCTACGTTTTCAAAAGTGACAGACCCTGGATGAAGCAAAACCATTGCTGGATTTGAGATCTCCAACATTTTCACTTTCATGTGGGTCATTTGCTTACAAACTCAGATTCTGTCCTTACTTGTTTACAGATGACTCCCAGCCCCTTAAGAAAACAAAGGATTCTGTTGCCACCAGAGAGTGCAGTAACATCATATGCCTTAAGGTAAAATCAGGGGAATCTCAAATTCCTTGGCCTTCACTATTTTCAACATTTAGTTAATTACTACAGCTTTATTTCAGCTCCACATGGCGAGCTCAGAAGTAAGGCCAGTTCTCTGAGACATCACTTTGAGTCAGCTTGTTCCTAGATTAATCTTTCAAGTGCCAGAGCGTGCTTGCGTGCGTACACACACACACACACACACACACACACACACACACACACACACACACACACCTTTTTCTTCTTCACTTCCCCAGGTGTGCTTTTTTCTGAGCCAGTGGCAGATGCTACAGCGGGGAAAAGGCATTGTTCAGCAGGCGGCTCCTGTAACAAGTAGCTGCTTCTGCCCTGGTGGAGTTTCATATTTCCTTGTTTGTCTGTATAAACAGGTTGGGGATAAGAATTTATTAGTTGCAGGTATGGGGAAGGACAGTTGACTTTCAACTTTTATCGCTTTGGGGGTAATGGGAAGAAGGCAAGGAGAGTGCTGGGGCACTGAGACAGCTGTGGTTTTGGCTGAAGCAGGTTGGGGAGCCCTGATCTCATCATCTGGTTAGGTTCTTGCTGGGTGAGTGAGGTGATGGAGAGAATGGTAACAATAATGATAACAGTTGATGTGTATTAAGTGTGACATATGGGACAGGAATTGTACAAAGTATTTTATAGGCATCATGGAGGTATTATCATTGTCTCCATTTTGCAGATGAAGAAACTGACCCTCAGCGAGATTGAATAATGTGCCCAAGAGCAGAGCTAGAAAGTGGGGGTAATTTCAATCCAGGCAATCTGATTGCAGAACGCATGCAGCTGAGTACTAGGCGAAGAAGAGCCTGTCAGTCTCATTCCCACCTCCCACTGAACTTTGGCTGTTATTTTCTAAGGTGAGTGGCATGAAGAAGTGACACGCGGCCTGCCTCAGTGTTCTCAAATGAACTCTGCATGATTATGTTTACCCAGATCAACAAGCAAGACGCTTGGCTTCTTACCACTGAGATCTGCCTTCCTACTGGGAAAGGCGCCGCCATAGAAGGTAATGTGGGATTTGCCGCTCAGGAGCCAGGAACGACCAATTTGGGCATGCCCAAAGGCCCTCCTGGAGGTTTGCTGTGTTCTTTCATTGTGGCTTTCCTTTGAAGCACGTATAGGATGGTGATTCTCTATTGACGTGTCCTAGGGAATGAGAGATACACATTCCTGTAAACAGGCTTTGCAAAGGAACAGAGCAGGTTCCTCTCACAGTCAGACCTGCGGCTAGGCTTGTGGTTCCGAGGATGAAAACTCCCTTGCAGCCTGGGAAGAAAAACATGATTATAATAGCAAGATCTTTAATGCTGTTTATTACAATAAAACATTTCATTATTAGTGAAAGCATGACATTTAACCATGCCTGATACATAGTGCTTTCTTGCAAAAAATTTTTTTTAAATAAAAAATGAAGTACTAATATAATTGTCTTTATCCATTATAATAAAAGGCCTCTCCCCTCTCTCCTTCCACTGTGTGGCACTTCTCTTCTCCCCCATTTCTGTACTCATTGGCATATGACCTTCTTGTAAGTCAAACAAGTTTATTCCAAATAGGAGCATGTGTTGTCTGTGTTGCTCTGAGCCGCTGTCATCTTGTACACACACACACACACACACACACACACACACACACACACACACACAGAAGCACGCACACACACACCCCTTAGAGTTTAGAAAGCATTTTTACGTTGTAACCCATTTAATCTTCATAGTGACCTTGTGAGACATACGTATGATAATAGCTCCATTTTACAGAGTAGGTAATTCAGGATCAGAGTTAATTAAGTTTCTTGGCAGGCTCACCACAACTAGTAAGATGTAGGACTCAGACCAAGGCCTTTCCAACTCTAAGGCCAAGAGCTCTTTTTTTCTAGAGACTACAGCTGCCTAGAGGAGTCTAGGGAAGATCTGTGGTTAAATAAGTTTGAAAAGCCATGAGTTAAAGTTAAGCTGGCTATTTTACCTATAGAACTTCTCAAAAATGGTCCACATTGAAGTGTGCCCTGAGACTCCCTGTGAGGAGAACATGGTATGCAGCATTTTCCAAATGTATCTGGCCATGAAACTCTTTTTTTTCTCATGGATTGTCTGGCAATGCTAGGGCTCCACAGGTAACCATTTCGGGAACAATGGTCGATAGGCTCAAAGTACTCTTCTCTTCTCTGGAGGACCCAAGAAATGGCGAAGGGGAAGAAGCATCCCCTCTGAAGTCAAGAAGAACAATGAAAGAGGGGAGCCCGTTAGAAACGGTACCTCTGCCTGGGTTTCATCTTCCTGCCAAGGCTGCTTCCTGAGTGGCGGCAAATGAGTCCCCTGACTGCTGTGGTTCTTGGCTATAGAACCCTGGTCCACGTGTCCACCAGCCCCAGCTTGCCCTTCATCCAGGCCCTGCTGACCTGCAAAGGTGAACAGTGGGTCAGCTTTGTAACACCAGAGGTGGGCATGGTGCTGTTACCTGCCTCCCTTCTTGCTTCTCTGAGCAAAAGTGTTGATCAAGGCCCTCGTTCTGCCTCCCTCTTTACTTCTGTTTTTCTGCTATCCATGGAAGTCGTAGCCAGGTCAGAGGAACAGAACTTCCCTTCCCAGGAGGCTTAGATTTGAGTCTTCCTTTCTTGGACTCAGTTTCCTCATCTGTAAAATGGGGATACTGATTTCATGCTCTCACTTTTTTTGCAGAGTTGCCTGAAGCTCAAATAAGCTAATGAATGTGACAGCCCTTTGTAAACTGTGAGGGACTAGTGGGTAACAGTGGTGTCATTTTGGCAGGGTTACCTACAGCCCTGCTCTGTCACTGAGATGCTTGGCCTGAGACGCTGGATTTCCTGGGCTGTCTGCTGGTTGTTTACTTGTGGAAAAACTTCTGCCCAGTGCACTGTGGCAGGGTGGCTGCTTAGCTTTCTGAACTTATCCTGTCTGCACAACGCTTAGGAATGATTTGAATCAACAGATGACTCCAGCGTAGTTAACAAATCTTTCATCGATGGTTTAAAGGGTCCTGCAGCTATTTTCATCACTTACTCAAGGTAGATTTATTGCTGAAATAGTCTGGCAACCTTCTTTGTATGGAGCTGCTTTCACAACACCTCCACACTCAGCATGCAGCTCCATGGAACAATGTGGGGTTGCTTTTCAACCAGGGGCTCTGGAAGCCTTCAGCGGCTCTGTGTGTGTTGGAGTGCTGGACTTCTGGAGGCTCCCAGCCAGCCTCACCTTCCCTGTATCCTCCCCAACCTTCATCATTCTCTATGTCATTCTCATCCTTGGTGTCCTTGGGTCTAGAGCCAAATGCCCACTTGTGGGGCTACTCCCGCCCCCCAGCTGTTCTTCGTCTGCCCATTGGCTCCTAACCCTACCTTGGGACTAGGCTGATACTGAGAGTGTTGATGGAAGAGATGCAGACTCAAGCTCAGATTCAGAGGGTCTGCTCAGACTTTAGTGGCCCAAGGAAGCCTGATGAGCCCTGAGGATCCTTCAATCTGAGGAGGTCAAGGGCCACATTAGGCCTGCTCCCAAGAGGATCTCAACTCTCATATAGAGTGTGGCATGAAAGGCCTTTTATGTGTTCTAGAATGATCCTTTGGGGTCAAGCCAGACTTTAGGTTCATTCTTCCTGGTCAGATTCTCCTGGAATCAAATGCATTTCTGAGGGCAGGGGAAGTGAAACTCTAGCTAAATGGCTACTTGCCTGCTGAACAGTCTTCTATGGCAGACTGTCTAAGTTGGGGCAGGGGGTGTTGTGGGTAGGGAGATATAGAGAGGTATTTTCCTTTTGGCTGTATCCCAGGTGATATTGATTACATGACTCAAGCTATGCGAAGGAAACCAAGATTTTTTTCAGTAAACATCAGCTCTGGCTCATTTGTTTATGCTTAATAGAAACAGGCTTGCAAGCAAGGTATTAGAACGTTCAGTTGTTGAAAAGAAACCACAAAACTCGATCTCTCTATATTTCAAATATGGATTCAGATTACCCATGTGATGTGAGTTTTGATAGCAACTTAGAGCTTTTAGAAAGCTTTTTTTTTCTCTGTCCTGTCCTGTGATTTTCCACAACAACACAGGGAGGGTGGAATGCAGATACCATTACTCCCATTGGGCAGATGAGCAAACTAAGGATACAGGGAGCATAAGTGACTTGGCCAACATAACATTGTTGGGGGACCTGGGATTTGTAGCCAAGATTTTTGTTACTTTTCCAAATAAAGTGTCTGGAAAAGAGAGGGAGGCCAAGGGGAGATAAGTTTAAAACCAATAAAACTGTCAGTTAAGGTTCAAGTTACAGCCTCTGAACTAACTGTTCTTATTTATTTGCAAATTGACTTTTGGCCCTGAGATCATGGGCAATTGGGTATTGCAATTAGTTAGTAATTATGCTTTAAAAATACAGACTAGGGAGGTCTATAACATTTCTCAAGCACTTACTACATGCCAGATACTGCATTATTCCATTTAACTCCCACATCCCATTCTGTGAGGTAAAGGTGGGAATAGTCCTCTCCATTTTATAAATGAAGAAACTGAGGTCCAAAGAGATCACAGGGCTTGGAATCTGGTGCTAACAGCCATATGTCTAATTACTTATTCTACATTGCCTCTTTGTTTTCTGCCTGATTGTGATAGCTCTTTGGTATTTGGCATCAATTAAGGATGTCACTTAGGTGTGCAGTGGTGATCTACCCCAAAAGTGAAAGTACTGCAGTCCACTTCCAGTGTTTTTAGATCCTAGGGCATCCAAGTCAAAGGATTTTCACTGGAGACGTAGAATTTTTTAAGAAAGAAAGCTTAAGTCAGTGGCAAGTGGGGTGCCATCTGGGGATGGGTAGAAGGTCTCAACACAGGAAAAATACCTGGGTGAGTTCACCACCCCCAGGACATGGATGGCCCAGAAACTTGACCTTTTCAGTGCTCCCGAATCAACTGGTCTCAGGGATGTTGACCCACATTAGCAAAGTGCATAGAGATTGATGTATAGACTAGGGTATTAATTTACAAAGAGAAATGCAATTGCCTGACTGGCATATTATTTCCTATAGATGAACTACATGTGCATAAGGTTCTGATCAAATTCCCTGGAGCTGGACTCAAGACTCCAGGGCGGTGTGTGGCAGGAATATTTAATGGCACAAGGCTCTGAAAACCTGCCATGTTTTTCCCTACTCACTAGAATCTCTCCTTATCCTGACCAGGTTCTTTTCCAGGGACAGTGCTTGGTTAGGCATTACCATTGTTTCTAAAGAACTCCTTTTTAATTTCAGAAAAATTAACTTTCTATTATGTTAGGCTCTTGTTCTTTCCTTCTCTTTTCTCAAAAACTCTGCTACTAGCGAAGGCCCTGTTCTCCGCCCATTACTGCTACCCAGTCATCTTTCCCCATCTCCTTTAGCAAAGGCAACTCTGGCTCTTTTAATGATTCAAGTTTCCAAGAATAATATTAACAAGTAAAATCCCCTGTAGTACTGAACAGCTTACAGGCAGCTCACAATAATTTTTTTGTGCAATAATGAGGTAGGTCTTATTATGTCCATTACGGAGATGAGCTAACAGAAACCCAAAGAAGTTAAGTGAGTTGCTCAAGATTCACGTCTAGTAAGAGAGAGAAAAGCCATTGCAATTGAGATTTCTGGCTCCAAAGCCTGTATTTTTTTCTTATGATATTGCCACAAAACCACAGGATTAAAGAATGTTAGAATGGAATAGACCTAAGAAATCATCTAAAAATCTGGAGTCTAGACCTGTACTGTCCAATATAGTAGTCACTAGCTACATGTGGCTATTTAGATGTAAATTAGTTAAAAGTAAATAAAGTAAAAAACTCAGCTTCACAGTTGCACTACCTACATTTCAAGTGCTCAATAGCCACATGCAGCCAATGGCTGCTATATTGGACAGCACATATGGTACATTCCATCATTGCAGAGAATACTGTTGGACAATGCTGGTCTAGGCTAATGCCCTCATCTTACAGATGAGGGTGATGAAACCCACAATCCTTAGACCTTATTTTGGGAAACTCCATTTTAAAGTGTTAAAAATCCAAATATTTGCGATCTGGTCATACAATCAACATGTACCTTGTTCAAAAGATTTTCCTTGTTGAGTCCAAAATGGCGGGAAGACAGGCAGGAGATGGTATTTTGGGGGTACCCCTGAAAGGTCCTGATGTGGCCTTAGACTCTTTGGTACATTAAGGAGACTTTCCTGGAGCAGCACAGAATCCTTGATGTATCCTGAAGAGTAGGTCAGCAGTTATTGGTAGAAATAACAGTCATCAGTCTAGAGGTCTTAGAGATAACTACACTAGTCTTGGCTCTGGACATTACCCATTAAAGAAGACAATTAGAAGATGCAAAGGATTAAAAAAATCAGGTAGAACCCATAGAGAGTTCTTTATTCAGTGTCTTGGGCACTTCTGGTCCTGTGCCACACATATGCTTCTTCTGCTCCACTGTTCCCAAGAACTGGGTCTCCCTGGTGGATGAAACATGGCTGCTTCTTTGAGGTTAGGTAAAAGGCTCCTCCTTCCTCAGGAAAAGAATCCAAAGGTTTCTCCTGGATGTATCCTGCTTGCTTCTGGAGGCTCCATGATTCTCAATCCAGTCTTTCTACAGGTATTTACTGAAGGCTTACCAATGGGCCCACCCCTTTGCTAGGCAGTGGAGTAGATACAGAAGAACCAGCCATGGGCCATTTTTAAAGGCATTAAATAGTCTATTGGAAAGACAAAGCTCTCCTGGGCTCACCTGTAGGGTTCCAACTGTAAATGTGATGTAAGTTCTGAAAAAAGGAGCTCAATATTGGCTGGAGTTATTAGAGTGGTCTTTGTAGAAGTAGTGAGCCTGAAGGGTGGGTGGATTTATCATAGGGGTGGAAAGATAGGACCAGAGAACATACTAGCACGACAAAGGTGGTGAGCTCTGAGAAGTGAGTGGAGGGGGTGGCACAGGTCACTGGGCCAGTGATCTCATACCACAGTATTGCCATTGCCTTCCAGCTTAAGAGTCTCACCCTTAAGAGGAGCTTTGGTGAGGAATTCTGTCAAGGGACCCAAGAATGCACATACATCTGATGTTTCCTAAAACTACACGTTGTAGCCATATGACTTCCATAGGAAAGATCTGAGACATTTTTTGATATTCAGAGGGGCTCTTATCCTTGAAGATATGGGGCCTAGACCATAGGGCAACAGCCTGCTCTACCCTTTGCCCCACCCAATGATAAACATATCTTTGGTTAAGAGGCTCTTTCTTACTAGTGTTAAATAAATGGGATTGACTGTCACTGGGGTCTGCCTTGAAAGTAAAACCAATTACTATTCAGGCCCAAATCTCTCATTTTCCTTCAAATCATCACTTTATTAAGGAGAGAGTTTTTTCTCCTTTCTCAAGGTAAACCTATAAAACCAGAAGAAAGTCAGTTTTCCTCTGGTTCTGTCTGTCGGTGCTGAAGAAATGGCAAATTGCCAAGTGGGCACTGGCAAATACTACTGCTCAGACCTCTCATCCTAATAAGTTTGCCAAATAAAATTTGAGATGCCCAGTTAAAATTGAATTTCAGATAAACAGTGAATACTTTTTTAGTAGAAATATGTACCAAATATTGCACGCGTGTGTGTGCGTGTGTACTAAATCTGACAACTCTAATCCCCAATAATTTCCTGTTTTCATTTTTAAGCTTTTATTTACAGAGTGCCTTTGGGGTCCCTGTTCAGCAGAGGGTGTCCATGTGACTCCTAAGTGGACTGTGCTAGAGACCCGCCATCTTTAAGAGGAGGAGGCCTAACATCTCCACTTCCTGGAGGATCTGAGATCGCCTCAGGAGGGGAGCTAGGGAATGTTGGGGTGAATGTGGAGCTGGGTGTGTGAGGAGGATCTGGCTTCTGATCCCAGCTCTGCTTTTGGCCAAATAATCTTGGACAAATTACTTTGCCTTCTGGACCTCTTTTTCCTTACCTTGTAAAAGATAAGGAATGAGTTGGGGGTTCCGAAGTCTCTAAGTGGAGAAGGTTGGGAAGAAAGTTCTGCTTGGGATGTGGAGTGTAATACTGCCAAGAAGAGCTAGAGCAAAGGCAAGACTTCAGGTTGTAAGTTCCTCTGCAAATGTGGGGAAGGATGAAGGGAGAAAAGTATGATAGAGGCTTGCAGGTTACCAAGCTTGAGCACCTTTGCTTTAACACAAAATTGGGCCTAAAATTCTGGTGTTTTAAGCCTTGATGGAAAACACTCACACAAGAATGTGAGGCGGGGCAGCTAAGGGTGCACCTCTTCCCATTTCCCCACTGACCTGCACGTTGAAGCCTGTATATGGTATCGGGGGGCCATGTCCGCAAGAGGCCTCGGAGGTATCTCTTGGCTGAATACCCAGGCTGGACCTGCCGTTGGGCCTGGCTCTCTGGTTGGCTTCGGAAGTGGAGGTATGGTTGCCAGACTGTGTTCTGCTCCCTCTGTGGGGACATCAGTCAGGAAACAGCATGGTTGCTGAGCCCTGAGCTTCCCATTGATACAGGCTGGTTAGCACAATCCTCATCAGTAATCCAGGAGACTCCTGGAAGGTGCTGGAATGCACCAGAAACATATGCCTCAGCCAACAGACATAAACCAAGAACCCACAGAGCAAAGCTCTAAAAGTCCCCTGCAGATTTGCAGTTGGAAGGAGAAGAAAAAATGAGAAATACCAGACCCCATCTTGAGACAGAGCATCAGAAAAGGATAAAGAGCCTCAAAAGAAAACACATTACTTAGTTCAGCCTGTGGAAATCACTTTAGTACCTTAAAAAGCGGCCCTGTTCAGCAATGGGAAAGCCAGTTTGACAAATCAGCATCGTCATCCAACGTTTATAAGATGAATAACAGGACAGACAAACTATGTCCATGTTCATGGGGATCCTGGCATTTTAAACATATCTAGCTCTGCTGAATTTCATTTCAGCCAGGGAGAATTTTCTGGGAAACTACCTGCTAAAGTCAGTCCCACTCTGCAAGACATCATGGGGAGTAAATGTGAATAGTAACATCTTACGCTTGGATGGGGATTTATATTATACAAAGAACTTTTACCTCATTATAATCTTTGAAGGTGGATGAGTTAATATTATAACCACTTAAATTATGCAGAAACTCTCTAAGGATGATCAGTTACACAGAAGAAGAGCAAACATGTGATACTTGTGTTGACATCTCTCCCCTTCTCCCTTGTCCATGGCAGACGTCACCAATTAATTATGGCATTCTTGAATGATGAACTGATTGTGATCTAAGAATCCTTTTCTTTTAAAATTTTTTGAAAATGGAGGCATAATTTGTATATAACATGTACAGAGCTTAAATGTTCAGTTTAATAAAATCTGACAATGGCATACACCTTTGAAACTACCACACAAAACAAAATATAGAACATTTTTATCAGCCCAGAAAGTTCTCTCATGCCACTTTCTAGTCAGTATCTCGCCACCCACCAGATAATCACTATTCTTAGGTGAGGTCAGTAAGCCATTGGCCTGAGTTTCCTTGCCAGAATTTATTTAGGAAGGTTTGTGGTTAAAAAAAAGGAAAGAAAAGAAAAAAAATGGAAATATAAAACCTGTTTGATGGGGGAGAAAAGGTTTGGGTCTTTGCTCTGCTGAGCAAAGCTGTGGTTTGCTCCCGTTTCTTCTGTGTTCAGGACGTGGAAATGCCACAGAAGGGCAACCCACAGCTGTAGCTGAGGATTCAGGGCCACCAGGGGAGACTCTTTCTCAGCTAAGGAGAGGGTTGGGGAGCCAAAGTCCATAAGATGAGGGAATACATATGCTGAGGAGAGAGAAACAGGTATCTAGGACATTCATTCATTCATTCATTCATTCATCCATCCATCAAACACCTACAATGCACCAAACACTATGCCAAGCACTGGAGAAAAAGGGACAAATAAGACAGATTGATGATTCATAAATGGAGTAACAGATGAAAGAAAGCATGGCTTATTCGATTGGCTCTACACTCTAGGAATTTGTAAATTAAATAAATACTTGGAATCCAAACACAGAGCATCAACTGGTCCTTGATGTCTGGACAGTTTACGTGGCAAGTACTTCAAGTGCAAAAAGAGCCTGAAAAATTCAGCCCCACATAAATCTTGAGACTTTTTCCAGAGGACAAGAAAGAAAGAATTGTAGGGAGAGCAGTGGAAGCAAAATGACTTAAGTTCTTTCACTTATTCCATTTTTTCATCTGGTCATGCAATAAATATTTGTTGAGCAGCTTCTATGTGCCAGGCACTGTGTTAAACTTTAGAATTATGGTGCCATTAGATTCAAGGCCTTTTCTGGGTCAATTGGAACTGCAGTTCCTCCCTGTAAATCTTTGCTTGAAGTGACTTCTCTGTGACTGCAGCAAGACCAAGCCTCCTCTAAGATGCTGTGGCCCCTGTGCTGGTGGCATGGTGCCCTGTTTGATCTGGACAAGAGCCCCTTGTTGTTTCTCATTAATGGGTATTTCTGAAGCACCAGCTTGATTCTGGAGTTTTATTGGGTAGCTTGCTCAATGGGGCAGGGAGTTGCTGAGGCGAGTTAGGGAATGCCTTGTCCTGGAATTCGGGCTATCTAAACACATTTTTGCTTAGAGTTTGAAAGCTGATCTTGACCCCTGTGTTAGTTTCCTATTGCTGCTATAATAAATTACCACACACTTAGCAGCTTTAAACAATACAAATTTGTTATCTTCCAGTTCTGGAGGTCAGAGTTTGAAATGGGTCTCCCTGGGCTAAAATCAGGGCTGTGTTCTTTGTGGAGACCCTAGGGAAGAATCTGTTCTTTGCTTTTTCCAGTTTCTAGAGGCCACCTAAATTTTTTGGCTTGTGACTGTTTCCTCCATCTTCAAAGTCAGCAACTGTGGGCTAAGCCCTTCTTTATGCTGCCATCTTACAGGTTTTCCTTTTGATTCCTTCTTCTAATTATAAGAATCCTTATGATTATACTGGGCCTGTCCTGGTAATCCAGGATAATCTCCCTGTTTTAAGGCCATTTGATTAGCAACCGTAATTCCATCTGCAACCTTAATTTCCCTTTGCCATTTAACCTAATATAGTCATAGGTTCCAGGGATTAGGACACAGACATCTTTGGGGGGCATTATTTTGCCTACCACAGCTTCTTTAAGTTTTTTCTAGTTTTCTGGTTTCTCTTAGTAGTTTCTCAAATTATGCCTGTGAAGTTGGTTGATAAATTTCACATCTCATTGGATAACTAAAGCACTGAGGGAGGCCCAAGGCCCGCTTAGGGCTCCAAAGAAGACCAGTCAGGGTTAATCTATTCATTCATTTCCAAAGTGTGGAATAATATGTTAAGTGGAAAAAAACCAAGCTACAAGAGAGAATGTATAGTATAATTACAATCTCATAAAAGTTTATTTTATGTATGTTTAATTATGGTGGAAAAATTGGAAGAAAATACATTAAAATTCTAATAATAGTAGTATCAGGGAGTTGGGCATAAGATTGCAGATAGTTTCTCTTCTTTATTTTTGTAAAAACAAAATTTCAGTAATATTGGTTAGATTACACTTATAAATGGAAAATATGTTAAATTATTTTATTGCACCCACCCTCTTCTCTTACATATTTCTCTATTCCTTCCCCAACATTATCTTCGACCACTAACCACCCATCCAAAAATTACTCTAAAATGTAAAAGGAGACAGAAGGGAGCCGGGAAGGGAGTTTTTGGAACAGGGAAATAAACAACAGCAGGAGGCTGGCTACGGACAGTTTCAGACTGCTCAGGCCTGCCTTGGCTTTGCCAATCAACCCCAGCTTTTGGTTTCTTCTGAAATGAATAATTATGTGTATGGTGTGGCGTCTTATCCACACTCCACTTTCAGGAGGGACTTGCTCCTGCCAGCTGCCTTCCTGGTGCCCACCAGGCCTATGTATGCAGAGGGGTGAAGGGGACCTGTCCCCATCTTCACTCTGGCTGTCATGTCCACCCTACCCTGGTGCTGGCAAGCAAGGGTCTTCAGAGAATGGAAGGACCTGGTGCAGGCTGTGCTCCCACCCAGCAGATATGGGGTGGCAGGGTGCCAGAGTCCCCAGGAAGACAAGAAAGGCCCGGACAACCAGCTGCCATCTTACCCCAGAGGGCAGACAGTCTTTGTGTGCAGGGGTCGACAGAGGGGTGAAGAGAGAAGCCCAGAAATCCCAGGATGAGCAGACAAAGCCTTCCATAATTTGACCCCACCCACTTCTCTAGATACATTTCCAGCGAAGAGCCACATGTGCCTAATTACCCTGACTTTCTTCTGCTTGCTCTCCCCACTGGGACTTCATCACCTACGCCAGAAGGTCTCTCTCCACTTATTTTTGCCACAAGACTCAGCTCAAATTCTACCTCCCCCAAGATGCCACTCTAGATTTTCCTAGTAAGCAGTAATCACAATCTCTACCTTCTTTATACTTCGACAGCATATCAATAAATTGTAGTCTAGCTCCTCTCATAGACTGCTTTGTATCAAGTATCACGGTGGCACAAATCTGCCTCCTTGCTCAGATTGTACACCCCTGTTGGGTGGAGGTTTTGTCCTCCCCCTACCGCACCCTAGCAACTAACATGTTCATCCAACAAACGTTTGTTGAGCATCTGCCATGTGTCAGGCACTGTTCTAGGCACTGACTAGTTAATAATTACACAAGATGTTAGCTCACTTGAATGGAAACCCCCCAAAATGGACTTGCCTGCTGACCACTTGTTCCTCAAGCTGTCCACTCCAGTCAGAAGCCTTTCTCTCAGGAGGGGTGCAGTTGGTGTCTCCTGCCCCGCGGTCAGACTTACTGTGTTAGTGTGCTCTGGCAAAGGCCAAGCCTTAGAATAGAGGGTGACTGCCCATTGTTGTTGCACCTGTGCAGATGTGACTGGAACCAGCCTTGGGGCTACCACGTGAGGGCAACTGAAGTAGAGGTGGGGGTGGGATGGGAGGAAAGACCTGTGCAGCCACTTGTAGCTGTGCCTGGAAAACTTTCTCCAATCCTAACCTGACTTGAATTAGCCTTGCATAAACACCACCATTCTCTGCCAGCCCTTTTTTCTGCAGGTTTAACTTGATTCTGAGCAAATGATACTGTCTCTCCCATATATCTTTGGTGACCACGTGTTCCTGGGTATTAGACCATTAAGAAGAGAATCATGAAGTGGTCTGAATTTTCCCATAGTTGCAATGTTGTAACAGGGCTTGATTCCTGACCAAACCATTTTGCATCAAAGATTGGACCAGCCGTATGTCACAAAAGCAAAGGTACAACAACTAGAATTGAAAACAGCAAAAATTAAGCTCCTGTTCTTATAAGAGTTCAGTCTGCCTGGGTTTGAATCCTGGCTGCATCATTTACTATGTGACTTTGGGTAAAGTACTTGACCCATCTACACCTCAGTTTCTTTATCTGTCAAATGAGTATGATAAAAGAACATAACATACAT